GGAGTGAACGTCTGAGGGCTTGTGTTCCGGAGCTGTGGGGCGCTCTGCTCCTCGGGGTCCTCCGAGATGCAAGCCTCCTCCGCTCACAGCTCCCTTACCAAGCGGGGGCCCTTGTCTTCACGGACAGGGTAGCATCCAAGTTCAAGCGAAGACAGAGGCAGGGCCGGGGAAGGTGTGAGGGGGAGCTGGCAGCCTCTTAAAGAAAGTTCCGGTTATCGTCACAGGACACCTTCACTTACATCGTATTGGTGGATTTATTTACATTGGCCACACCAAAAGCAAGGGAGGCTGGGAAATACAGCTTTTATCTGGGGCAGTCCAAACGTCTGTTTCTTTAGAAGAAGCAGGACACAGCTTCCGGGGGACAACTCGCCTGCCCTGTCACTCACGAACTTATTTAATCTCGGCAGTATTTCTCGCTATGTTGTACTTGGCTTTCCTGATGCCAGACCCAGTTTTCCTCTCTTCTCTGTGGCTGTGCCTTCTCTGGCTTCTCTGCAGACTCCTCTTCTTCTAGACCCCCTCAGGGTTAGCATTCACGGGCGTTTCGTCCTCAGGCAGGTGGGCTTTCTTGCATGACCCTGTCAAAGTCGTGCCTTCTCCTACCCACGTGTTACAGATGTACATTTCCCCCCCAGATATGGCTTTGCCTGAATCCCGGATTCATATATCCAGTTCCATAAAGGACTTCTTCACATGAATATACAATAAGCAATTCAAACTCGGTACATCTAAAATTAGACTCATCCTCTTGCCCACCTAAACTCTCTTTATCATGTCATCATTGTCTGTCCATATGGTCACTGAAACCAGCATCTGGGATATGCCTGGAATTATCATTTCCATCTCTCACATATGTTCATTGTCCATTTTTTCCTCTCTTCTCCATCCTCCTTGCTTTTGCTTTAGTTGTTAGAGCTAACATTCGCGTGTCCGCTACTTATAAAAACACATTACATATTTTAACTCATTTAATCTTCAAACAACCCTACTATTATAATTATTCTCATTACACAGATGAAGAAATCAAGGAACAAAGAAGTCAAGTAACTTTCCGAATTTTTGCACATCAAGTAATTGTAAAACCAGGATTTGAAACCAGGCAGTCGATTCCAGCGTACTTTCTCTTAATTGCTATGACTTCCTGCTTTAACCCCTCATCGTTCATTTCTCTTATTATTATAGAATTACAGAAGCCTTTCTATTGGTTTCTCTTCTCCAGTCTTACTAAATCCTCCCCCAAGTTTCATCTTTCATACGAAAAACTACCAATCTTTTTTTTTTGGCGGTTCTATAACTTTATTTGATGATCAGAGGTTAATTCTCATTCACTTTGTCTGTAGATTTTTGAAAGTGGTAACAGGTATATAGATGACCAAGGGATAGAGCTTGTTGGTGAATCTCCATCCTTATTATGTTTTCTGGACGACCATACACAGAGGTGGTAAGGGACGTTCCTTATTCCTCTGGCCCAGACGGCTCTGTTGAGCCAGGCATCAATGCACATGTCTGGAGTCCCCATCTCCTTCGTGGCAAATTTCCAGATCTCTTGAGCGCCCAGAGGACACCCTTTCTGAAGCCCACTCCATCGCTGCCCTGGTGAGTGCGGATAGCGTACTCTCAGCCACGCCTCGCTGACAGCAGAGCGGCCTTTCCTCTCGCCACCCTTCTTTGCGGGAGCCGTTCTGCTGGGTCTGCCGCCCAAACTCCACTGGTGCTTCTCCATCGCTTTCGAGCTGAAGTTCCAACTCCTTAATGCCAGACGAGGTCCTTCCCTATCTCCCCCTGCCCACCTCCGCAGCCTCTGCTGGAACTTCCTCCCAGACACGCTCCCATTCAGCCGCCCTAGTCCAGTTCTGAACAGGTCCTACCTCCTGCACCCACCTCTTTGCCTCCGCATTCACTCAGAGCTCCTATCGCGAGGGTGGGCTGTCATGGGGACAGCTGAAAGGTCCCAAAGGGCAGACGGGTTCCCTTCTGTGCTTTACAGCTTTGTGATTGCATTTTTCACACAGTGCAGTAGAGGCAACTTTGCTCTTCTCTCTCCCTTGCTGGCCTAGGTGACCTCCTCGAGGAAGTGCTGGTTCTTTGCATCTGCGGCATCCACCAAAGTGCTTGGTGCACAACGGTCACTCAGGAAATCATTGTTAAATAAGGATGAACTAACGAATATAACTGCTTCATTCCCTTTGATGCCGTTTTCCCAAACGAAGCCTATGACAAGGAGATCCCTTGAATATCGTTGATTTTACCCTGGTTTACTTACCTGTAGGGGAAATTTGTCTTGGAGTGGGGTCAAAATAATGTCACACACAGGCCACATGGTTTGGTGTGGCACACCCAGGCATGGACACAGAGGTCTGGAAGGAATGTCAGGAACAGGAGTGTGGCTATATTGACATCAGTAAAGGGAGCAATTTGCAACATAGGAGTAATGATACCAGGACATAAAATCAGTATTTTGAGGAATTGCTGTAAAGAGGATAACTAAGGAAATTTAAACAGGTGCGTATTTTTTTTCTCCTTTGATTGGCAATTGCTTTTCGTGGAAGCCAGTGAAGAAATTCTTGGGTTGTGGAAATTTTAATGAAAGAACACAGTAGTTGTATTTATTTTACAGGATTCTGGTGCCTTTGTGACAGGCAGCCACAAGTGGAATTACCTTCACTGGTCTGGACTCTGTCCCTTCTCCTCTTCTAATCATCCCCTGAAACCCACAGACATTAGAGCGGTTGTCCTTCACCGTTGAAGAAACGCAGGCGAGTTAGGTTACCGTGGAAACAGAATCACTTTTTGCTGCAAGACACATCGCTTCATCTGCACTATTATGAAGCAGAATACATGGTAGTGCTGGGAGGGGAATCAAATATTCAGCCTGCCAGTGTTATATTTGGCCTATGGGTGAATAAATGACTTTCAATTAGAGTACTTAAATATCATTTAAATTTAATAATAATTATTAGACACCCAACAGAATTTTACTTGGAAAAGAATAAAAAAAACTGATTCTGTTGTAAGGAGAGAGCTATAAATCCTTCAGACTGGACTGCTTCTGTTGAAGAAAACACAAGGAAATTTGCATTAATGGTTTCATTGGGTGTAAAGTAAGTGTCTTAGGTCTTCTTTGTGTTTCGACTTTCCGAGTTGACCGTATTGTGGGTTTGTGAGGTTGTCCTTAGTTCTTTCTTTTTCTGTCTCTTGGCTTCTCTGTAGTGAACATACATATTTATAACTCCGTCTTTCATTGGGCTGTGTGTGCTCAGATCCACCGTTCTTGACTTGCTGCTGAGTCCTTCTGGGCCTGGTCCTTCTGGGCCGCTGCCACTGCCTCCTCTGGGCTTTCCTTCTCTCCCCAGCCAAAGCCCCGCTGCTGTTTGGTGCCCCATTCTGCTCCTGGAGTCCCTTCCCCTTGTGCCCAACCCCAAATCCAGCTGCTGTCCTAGTTTGTTTTCTCTTCCTGTTTGTGTTGCTGACCATCTTGAAGTGCAAATCTAGAAGACCTACACTGGTAGAAGGATCAACTCTGTAAAATCCAAGAAACAAAACAGGAATCTCTCATTCCTTCAGCTCCAAAGATGATCACACCTTGAGTTTCTTTACTGGCCACAAAAGCACCCTCGAAACAGACAAGCAAACAAAAATCTAACAGACACACGCACGTTACTTACATCCCCGCAGAATCTAAAATGCAATCACAGGAAAATTCCATCCGGGAAAGGAAAAGAAAGTCTTTTATTGGCTGGATATAAGTTAGAAAAGAATGTGATACTTTAAAAGTACCGGTGTTTTAATTCTAGAGATAGTAAATCGGACTTAAGAGACAAGTGACAATGATTGAGCGACTAGTCAGTGGTGGGCATTTTTTACATCCATAATCCCATTTAACTACCAAATTAATCTCAATAGCTACCATAGCTACAATGATTTCCACTTTACAAACAAAATTTTAAAAAAAGAAGTCACTCTCAAAGCTACCACACAAACCCTGAATGATTTCTGGTTCTGGGTTCAGTTTTCTTTCCCGCTGCGTCCCCTCGCCCAGTGTCCAGCAAAGCTCTGAGGTGGGTGACGGGCTAAAGCCCAGTGAAAGAAATGAGAAGAATAGGGCCTCTGATCTCGGCTTTGTCACCTCCAAATGCGACTTTGGGAAAATCATTTATTTGTTTCAAACTCAGATTTGTTCATCCTTAATTAATACGGATAAATAACCTCTTATCTCTTTGTGCACGTAGGGAGCTAAGCAGTTAATATGTGCAAAACATGTTGAAAATACTAAGGACACTTGTCTTTCTGTAGGAAGAATGACTTACTTCTGTTACATAGGTCCGGATTAATAGGTCCACATCACTGTCAATCAATTCAGCCATCCCAGTTAATTCAGCCCCCAAATCATTATCAATCTAAACTTTGCAATGTTTTTCTTCTGTGTCTCCCAATTATCTAATATGTGCTGGGTTGGGTAGTGGACGCTCATACTCATTTCATTTTTAAGTGATGGAGTGAGTGATTAAATCAAACTATTCCAACATCTACTTGAACCACCAATTATAGATCCAATTTTATCATGATATGAAAAAGGACAGTAAATGCCTAGACACAGCCCAAGGTGCTCTGAGAAGATACAGGCCAACTCTCCACTGCTGCTCTTAACCACAGTTCTGCACCAGCTTGGGGTACAGAGTCTCCTTTGAGAAAACCAGCTTCCTTCTGCTGTCTACCCCTGTTAAGCTCTGCATTCTTTGTTTTATTAAAAGGAAAGAAAGAAGGAAAAAGGGAAAGAGCAAAGAAGGAAGGGAGGCAGAGAAGAAAAAGGAAAGAAAGAAAAGAAAAGGAAAAGAAAAAAATATCACTCAGTGTTTTCCACCACACCTGAACAGCCTGGGAGTGAAGTGGGACCTGCCCAACTTTTCGACACCAGTTAACGTTGTTGAACAATGAACGTGTGACGTGCCAGCGTGGTCTGACTTGACCTCATTTTGCCCTTGTTTTGCATTTATCAGGAGAAGCATTCTTGCAGATCAAAGGGCCCCTGGAAGACATCTATAAGATCTACTGCTACCACCACGACGAGGCGCACAGTGTACTGGAGTCCTACGAAAAGGAGGAGGAGCTGAAGCAACATTTGAGCCACTGTCTCCAGTCCTTAAAGTAAGGCCTTTCCGTCTACTCTCAGTTGCCTGGCAGGGAGCATTTTAAATGGATGTCGATGAAAGTTCTCACATAAATCCTGTGTTTTGTGAGCTTGCTGGGAGCCCTGCTTTGCATTCCCTGTATGAAAAGCTGACATGCCAGAAGCCCTCATTGACTTTTTTTTTCCCCTGCAAGGATGACTAAAAATAACATGGGAGAAGATTCAGGGCTTTATAGAGATTAAAAAATGCAATACCAAAAAATGAAATGTGGGAGAAAAATCCCTTCTTAAAGCTATTGTAACGTGCCTGCTCCCACATAGTTACAGAAATACGTGGGATAACATGTGGCCCCATGACCACCAGAGCACGTGGTTTAGTGAAGTTAGCAGACTGTCCTGTGACTCTCCGAATGGGCTTCCTCTTTCCCCAAACTCACTGTGGGGAGGTTGGCAAAGACAAGTCAGGCCTTGCTCAAGTTAGTTTCGGGACAATTACTCATGCCTTCCTTCCTCATCTCTATAACATTGGTGGGAGGGCTACATAATAGTGAATACTATTCACTATAAAAGTCTGAATAATATAAGAAAGTACGTATAAGATAAAAGCCCCTTGCTCTTCCACCATCTAATAATAACCAGTTTGCATCTTCTTCTGATCTTATTTATGTGCATAAATGTGGGCATGTGCTTAGACTGATTCTTTTAAATGAAACCGATGTCTTACTATATATACAGTTTCCTACCACATAAAGCTTAAAGCCAAAATTACCACCTTACTCCACATCTTACCCAACGGTTCTCTTGTAGTCTTTCACTTTTAAGGATTATCCACTGTTGCCAGGCGAGGTGGCTCCCACCTGTAATCTCAGCACTCTAGGAGGGTGGGGCGGGAGGATCGCTTGAGGCCAGGAGTTGGAGACCAGCCTGGGTAACACTGCGAGACCTCATCCCTTAAAAAAAAAAAAAAGAAAGAGAAGGATTATCCACTCTTGAATAATATGGATTAGGCCAGCGATTAATCAACCAGGGAGAGCCATGGCCTGTACATCGACGCACACCAGTCCGACTCTTCAGCACCTCTCCCCGTACCCCTGTAGACTCTACTGGGAGAGGGGTCGAAACGGGAATTCTAATGCGGTACAAGAGGTTTGCAGCTACATTAAAAGTGAAATCAGGAGACTAAATGAGGCTGTGCTGGAGTTTTTCTAGGCCAGAACTAGGCCTGAAAATCGGTTTAAACTGAGCTCAACGATTTTTTAAAAATAGATAAATAAAATTTCAACTGTATTGCCCTCTACTGGTCCTTAAATTACTGCAGTTTTTAACCTGGAAAAGAATCTATTTAAGTCAATAAATCGCCAGCATTTATTTAGCATTTGTGCTATGGCAAGCACAGTTCTGGGTGCTGAGAACACAATAATAAATAAGACTTAGAGCCTGCCCACAAGGAGCTCTATATGATCAGATAACTCTTAAATACTATACGTAATGAGCAAGTAGCTCTAGTTAATCATGTCTCACTATTTTGTTTAGTTCAGTGTTAGCACATCGATTCAGAGAAACATTAAAGTTTGAAGTTGTATTCATCTTAATAAATTCATATAACTGTGCAAGCACTTTTTTCCTCGGGAAAAATAGTAGTAGTATCCTGGGTGTGAAGGAACACCCTTCCCATCTTAAACAAGCGGCAAGATCTGATCTGATCAATGTCTGTCTTGAGCCATTTTCCTTCTTCAGGTCCTAGAAATAAAAGAGACGAACCTCATAGTAAATGAACAATTAGCCCCGTGGACCAGCACCCCAGTGCCAGCCTGGGGAATGGGGGTCCTTCCTGGAGAGGATATGGTTAATGGACTTTGGACGCATGCTCCTCTCTGCTCACAGGACGTGGAGCTGTCTGTTCAGAGGGGGATGAATGTTAGTTTATTACTCACTGAGCTTTTGCCTCCTTCAAGAAAGAAATAGACCCTGCCAGAATATTCCACTAGGCAGTATAGCTCAAAATCACACCTGAAAAAGCAGCTAAAAGCAGAGGTAATTTTGAAACCTCATAAACTCCTAATTGCTAAACATTACTTTCAGACTCAATGGCCTATTTGATGTTTTTTTTTTTAAGCTTCAAGTTCTTGCCCTGGTGATCTTCCAAATTTGAGAACCATTCTGATTTTAGGTAATAATTTCAGGCACCAGAAAGTGTTAAAGTTTAGAAAAACACAAAATCCAAAAGAACATAGTTCTGCAACATTGGCAGAACTATTGCTTTCGGGAAAGAAAATCAAAACAAAATAGCTTAAGTTAGAGCTATTTTCCCCAAAGTTGCCTTTCCATGAAAATAAAGTTAATGATGAATTGCACAGGTCTGCCTGAAGGCTGAGAGCAGCAGAATTATTGACATTGCTGTAATACTGACCTCAACCGAGCTAAGCTTTAAATTCTGAGAGAAACAGGTTTTCAAACAGGTTTATAGGCCAAAGAGAGTCTGGAACACCCTAAGGGCTTGGTTTCTCTGCCAAGTAATCAGTCAAAGCTATTACTGTCGCTCTGCCTTTTCCTCCTGGCTAAATAACAAAGCCCAAGTGCAGTTGCCAATTTCTAATGAATATTAGGTGTGGCCTCCATTCTACACCGAGCAAGGGGATATTGGAACAATCTGGTTTGAAGCAATATCCACGAGAGAGACAGCTTCGTGCCTCAGAAGCTAAAGTGGATTTTAAAGCAACTTAGTTGCATTTTAACCAAAATTAAAATATGTTTATTGAGGGCCTGATAAATATTTATAGAGTGCTAGATAATGTTGAAAATATTTTTTAAATATACAGGCATAGTTCTTGCCTCCCAGGAACACAAACTTTAGTGGGGGAGATAAACAAAACCACGTGGCAAGTTCAGTAACAACACAAGAGTTAATGTGAAGGACAGCAGAAGCTGTCACGGTGGGTACAGTTCAAGGATAATTTCCAAAAGAGTGGTGGAGACACTGCCTGGTTCTGTAACAGGGTCAAGTTCATAATTTTTGGTTATGTTTTGAAGCCCTTTATCTTTCAATAGAGAAAATAATGTTGAATCTCTCTGAAATGTCAGGGCAGCGTTGGCGCGTGAGTTCCCCTGCGCCGGGTCTACCGGGGACGTGTTTTAAAAGTGCAGATTCCTATGCTCTGTCTCAGAGCTAATTTTTCTATATATTTTTAGTTGTCCAGCTAATTTTTTTCTATTTTTAGTAGAGACGGATTATTGCTCAGGCTGGTCTCAAACTCCCTTACTTTTTCTCAGACAAAAATAATAGGGCGGCTGGTGGCCAAGAGCAGGATCTGCACTTCAACAAGCACCCGCGGGTGATGTCCGCACCCATTCGAGCTAGGAACTCCGTTAGAGGGAGAAATCATACCCGCAGTGTTCGCTGCTTTCTCTGAAGCAGAAGGGCTTTTTTCATCAATATCGCTGCAATCTAAGTAGTCATTTCAGAGCTTGTAGATCTTAAAAAAGAAGAGACTTTAAGGCTATCCAGAAGCACAATACACATCTGCATCTATGGCCTACACATTGGAAATTTGCAAGTTTTCATTTATCCAACAAGAAGTGTTTACTGAGTCGCTTTAGTGGCCCCTAAGATTGGGTGAAATGTTGTATTAGTACAGTCTCTAAAGTTGTGGAAGTTACTTGCTAAAGATCTGATGACTTAGCCTCTTTGAGGTTATTTAAGGTTTCTGATCTGTATGAGGAGAGTGAAAAAGAGAATGGCTATAAATGCCAGTGCAGCTATAATTAGAATAGCCTGTCTGCTGCCTCCTTTTTCTGTTTCTCCACTTATAAATACCACCAAAGTCCCTGCTGCCTTTCAGAGGCCCCCAAGATCTGTTTATCTTGTAATAGAAAAACAATGAAGGGGATTTTCTAAGTTTTTTGATAGATGGAAGACACATTTCCAGCTTCATGTCTGTGTGCTGTGAATTTATCCATTTTTCTTCTTGCTAGCCACGGCCGTCATCCTCAGGAGGGAAACTTCTAACTTCTAGTCGTCTTTGGCTGCTCACGTGACTCACTCCTGGGGCTTCTCCACCCAGGGAGGAAGCTAAAAGCAATGCACAATCTAGAGGAATGCATTTCGATCTGTTCACCACATTTTATATTTATTACACTAATGGAGTGTTCCGAGTGAAAATTAAAATCGCTTCTGGAGATTCCTTCAGTTCCTTGTTTTATGGCATTATGTTTGAATAAAGACTATAATCTTTGAGGAACAGCCACGTAACAACTTTTGTTAATTGTGAATCAGATTATAATGAGCCCGAGAGGGTAGGACACGGAGCCGTAGAAATGTTAAATTACCGTATCCCATAAAAGGGTACGTGGACACAAGTTAACATCCTCCTTTCTGAATTATCCTTGTCTGGGATTAACTTCTGGAAAGTTTTAGACTGAAAGAGAGATATTTGAAAATGATGAGCAAATTAAAAGGAGATGTTTTAAGTGCCCTAACTCCAGAGATTGTTGTCTCCTCTATTGGAAAACTTCTCAGATTCCTTTCCTATAAAACATTATACTACATCAAACACGGAGTTTGATTTATGTTATAATATCTAGGTTTTGTTTGGCTGAAATAAATGAAACAGAAAAAAATGTCCATGTTTTTCTTTAGGGGTTAAAAGAACAATCTTTTCTTTCAACTTTAAAGTGTGCGTTTTGGTTCCTAAATGATCACATTGTTCACCTGTTTGTTTCCATGGAAAATTGCAGTTTTATTTTTATTCATTTTGTCCCCAAAATTTTCTGACCTGTGATCCATAAAGCATAATGGGCAAATAAAACTCCTCTTTAGAAGAGGATAGAAGTTAGGGAACGAACGTGAGCTTAAAGGAGATGAATGCAAGGAGACACTGGGCAGAGGGGCGGTCGTGCAATTTCTTTCACTGCAGCAGGAGAGTTTTGTTTTTTTTTTGAGACAGAGTCTCACTCTGTTGCCCGGGCTAGAGTGCCGTGGTGTCAGCCTAGCTCACAGCAACCTCAGACTCCTGGGCTCAAGCCATCCTCCTGCCTCAGCCTCCCG